TTTGTGCATTCTAGTATGCTACTGTCCTCGTTCTTGAATGCAGTTACATTAGTCTAGAAACTGGGGGCACATGACGAGGGGAGGGTCTATGAGCCCTTGCGTGAGCTATACACAAAAGAGTTATTATCATTTGAACACACTTCACTTCGAGACACATTCCAAATTTAAATCAGAAATTTAACTAGGCATAAATCTTAAGTTGCCAAGTCTTTGCTGATTCCATCATCATCGCCAGTCTAGCAGACAACTCGGAGTAACATCTCAGAATAGTCACCTTCGTCTACACGTATGCCCGAATCGAAACACGCCGATGTCTTAAGCAGAGCTACCGTGGCCTTCTCCCTGACTCACAGCTGATGGAGAGCTCGTCTCTGGCCATTGCCTAAGAGTTTGACATCACATCTGTGAAAACCTACTGAGGCCCCACGTCACATGTGTTGTGTGTGAACTTTAAGTTGGGGGCTTGATAGAACATTCGCTCGTTTTCCTACGTGCCACAGAACTTGCAAGTATGCAATTACAGAATAAAAGAAGAAATATTGGTATGTGCATGATACGAAAACAATTACATCTATAATTTACTAGCAGAAATTATAATAATGTAACCGGACGTAAGAATAATCAAAATTATATTTTATTTCAAAGTAGAAATACACACGATTCTTGAGAGGTTTAGACTTCTATTTGTGTACACTTAAAAAACATATGACTACTCATTTCCATGACCCCACAAGAAACAGTCATAGATCCATTTGTATTCATAAATTCTGGAGAATATTAAATATTACAAACTTAACTTTCTCGATTTTTACACATACAAATATGTCTTTATTCATGTTGTAAAATAATGCTAATTGTATCTTGTTTTTAAATTAAAATCAGTTAAGATTAAAAATGTTTCTTAACCTGTTCACGTAATCAAGGAAACAATTTCCCTCCGCTAGGCGGCAACAGCAGTCATCGTGAAAGACAAATGAATGTATTGTTGCGAAAAATTCAGTTGCGCGGATCACGTAATGCTTTCTCGAACATTGTGAAAATGGAAACAGTACAGTCACAGTGTAAGTAAGTGCCTCATATTCTGGCATGTCCAGACCTTTTACCATTCCATCAATCTCTGTTTCAAGTCATTGAACACAATATGATAGCTTGCATTTTGCATTAAGGTTGAGTGGGGAAAACGGTAAAACCAAGAAATCTGAGGTCGAGTGTAACACTTGGTTTATACTGATTAATTTTTGTAACGTCTCGTCTTACCAATTTTATCTGCACTCCTTTCAAAAGGCAATATAAGTGATGACTTCGGTATTTGTGTCAATAATTTCCTGTTTTATCTTCTTATTATATATTGCATAGATAAATGTGGTTTTCCAATCAGACGGAAATTATTTTTTATTTTATTTAAGTAGACTTTTAAAACTTCAAATTCCATCACTTTAAAACTGAAAAATTTACAAGCCTCAACTGGTAGGTCATTATATCTTATGTTTCATATTCATGATGAATTTTTAACCACCTGTTTTGTGAAGTTTACGTCCAGTTAATTGATGGTTTAATTTCTGTAGTTTCCCAAGAAATAAATTTCAACAAACCCCACTTAGTTCGTTTCGCAGACGACACATTTGGATGAACAGACATTGATCACTATAATCATTTGTCCCATTACAGTTACTCGGGGTCTCATTGAAGTCATTGTAAACCGGAAGTGAGAGGACTGGTGGTGTTAACTTTGGAGAGACGTGTACTCCATTATCTGTGCGTGTCACGAGTAAGACTACACACACTCGGAGCGCGACCAAGCCGAGCTATTATCTTCAGCCCCGATCACAAAGTAGTAATTAACAATGCAATATGCTAACAGCTGGGGGGCAGTCAAGATGGCTGACATCTTAGCGTTCGGTGCAAGGCGGTGTAAGGCGAGGAGACATCAGTTTTCGTGACAAACCAAGCGAGATTCCTCATGTCCAGTGTTTTGCCAACCGAACAACTGGGGTACACTGTAAAATTATTACCTTGTAAGAAATCGATTCAGAAATTCATGTGAGAACCTCATTGTTTCAGTAGAGGCAGTAGTTATTGACATCCGGTGAGGACAGAAGCATGCAACAAATTGATTGCTGTTTTCAGTCATATTTCCTAAGATTTGCTGTTTTCAGTCATACTTCCTAAGATTTGCTGTTTTCAGTCATACTTCCTAAGATTTGCTGTTTTCAGTCATACTTCCTAAGATTTGCTGTTTTCAGTCATACTTCCTAAGATTTGCTGTTTTCAGTCATACTTCCTAAGATTTTCTGTTTTCAATCATACTTCCTAAGATTTGCTGTTTTCAGTCATACTTCCTAGGATTTGCTGTTGAGAGTCATACTTCCTAAGATTTGCTGTTTTCAGTCATACTTCCTAAGATTTGCTGTTTTCAGTCATACTTCCTAAGATTTGCTGTTTTCAGTCATACTGTTTTCATGTTTTCAGTCATACTTCCTAAGATTTGCTGTTTTCAGTCATACTTCCTAAGATTTGCTGTTTTCAGTCATACTTCCTAAGATTTGCTGTTTTCAGTCATACTTCCTAAGATTTGCTGTTTTCAGTCATACTTCCTAAGATTTGCTGTTTTCAGTCATACTTCCTAAGATTTGCTGTTTTCAGTCATACTTCCTAAGATTTGCTGTTTTCAGTCATATTTCTTAAGATTTTCTGTTTTAAGTCATACTTCCTAAGATTTGCTGTTGAGGTCATAGTGACCGTGCCGGATTTGAAACCCAAAGTCCTAAGTAGAGAGACTCTTTAGATTGGTTCTAGAGCAGGGGCGTTAAAATTCTGAAACCGGAGATCGCATTTTTATTTTTTATCATACTCGCTGGCTGACGGATTACAAATGAGGATAGTTTTGTCAAAAAGTCGTGGTAATTTATTGAAAATACTACTGACTGTCCGCAAACATTTTCACACATCATTCAATAATATTCTTTAACAGATACAGCGGTTTGTTATTTGTAAGAACAATTCACTAAAAATTGAAAATGAAACTTAGGCATTAGGTACCTTTTTGTTGCACAGGATCCTACGAGTATTAAAAAATGTTTTCGGTTCGCACAAAAGAATTTGGTGGACTGAGAATCCATCCTACGCTTTTCTGTGACCCAGTATTAATCAAGGACTTTATCTGTGGACCTAGAATTCGGTCGTCCAGAGACGCCGTTTCCTGAGGTATAAGGCAGAGTTGTTCAATCTCATGAAGTAAATTATATGATAGTAACCTATCTTAAAACAAGTAATTACTTCCTCCTACATACCTTAGGTTAAATATCAAACGTTACGCTGACAGTCCGTGTACAAAACAATTCTTGATTATAGTTTCAATAGAAAATAGAATCCATTGCAGGTCTCAGCCTTAATTGGTCGACTTCAAATGGATTCCTTCAAGTGATCGAAACTAACACATACGACTGCTAATTTGAATACACATTTCCTGTTTTTGGCTTTTCAACGTAAGGTTGCATGGTGAAGTCAACAACAATTAGTCTCGAACACTTAAAAAATCTCCTGAAGATGATTTTTTAAAGTCGAAACAAGTAGTGGATTCTTAAACACATTGAAATTATAATGAAGAATCATTCTGCAACGCGCAACATGATTCGTCCCTTAAAATTTGTATGTCAAATGTTTATAATCGCAGCGACTCGACTGAAAGTAAATAGATTTTACATAACTTCGTCACTGAGAGAATGATTCATCCCTCCATCGCCAGATGGCTTTCATTCTCCGTATTAGAGATGTTTCGGGATCGAAGCAAGGGCGTGAGGGCATTTATCCTGCTTGTCTGTGATACTCCTTAGCGTCTTCAGAAGCATCCTGGAATAGACTAAGAAACGAACAACAAAAAACTATCTTTCTTTAGGTATTTGTCAGAAATCACTTTGTTTCGCTGCGATGGAATTTTTGTTTTAAGGTTATTTTCTTACCTTTATTTTTGTTCTGAAAGACTGGGCCTCAAACCAACGCTTATTACTGAATTCCTTTATTAATCCACTCGATTGGTTGGTCGGAGAGGTCGACCCTGAAGAGATTTCTGTTTTATTCTAGCAAATTCCACACTCAGTTACACTGACCCTCCTATAACATTGAACGCTGCAACCAAATAATTCATGTTTCTGTTTTTAACGTTTTGACCTTTGTGAAGTGGAGTCAGTGGGATTCGAAACGACATATCTGTGGCTGGTTCTGGCAGGTGTTGACAAACTATGCTAAGAGTACCCCTGACGGATCGCAATAACAAAATTTTTGCGCCCTGGATAGGGGGAGAAGTGGAATTGTTAAAGCCATGAAACGTTTCCTACTGAAATGTAATAGATTTGACGCGGATTATAGTTCTTACACGTTCGTTACAAGGAATGTATAAAATGAACGCATGAGGGCGGTCGTGATTCCTGAGTTGCTGTTTCGTACATGAGATGGTAAAGTTGCGTCATATTGTGATATAATAAATATATATTATTTAAATCTTGTCCGTCTAATCACAATAAATTCTTATTAAATATTAAAATATTACAATAATTAACATTTAAAATATTAAATGATGTTCTTTATCGAAATATTCGATTTACATTAGACCATCAGACTTTTCTGCGTGAGCCTGCAATTGTAAGGTAACACACTGTATTATAAATTAGAACACAAAAAATAATTATATTAATTCTATTCAAAAGCGACGTTTCGGAGATCGGAATTTGTCTTCTTCCTCTAGGTAAAATGTAGCTACTCACTTTTTGGGCCCAAGAGCGTAGATTTTACCGGAAGACGGAGACAGATTTAAGTGCCCGAAACGTCGTTTTTAATTATGACTATGGATAATTTGTCATTGTAATAATACACCGTCTTCAGAAACCTTAATATTTAATTTTAGTCTCATCGAGGGAGATTAGTGTTTGAAAACACTTTTGCCTCTGCTACGCTCATGTGACGTCTCTGTATAGTAACACAAGCTTTTGTTGTTGTTGTTTAAGGAAGAAGACGAGATGGAAGTGATTTGTCACTGTGCCACAGCTACTGGTGGGAAGCTCTGTCTTGAGCAGTCCTTCCGTGACCCCTAGCGTCGGTTCTCCACCAATCAATCACAAGCAAAGGGGAGCCCTTGTTTCCCAGCTGACTAACTCACGGACAGACCAAGCAAGGTGTGTATCTGCTGCTTAGATTGATAGGAATTTACTCTGAACAGCTCAATCAATGTCTTTAGGTTTGTGGACGGACCCTACTGCCTCCATATCCTGCCCTGGAACAGTCATCACCTCTCTATGGAGTTCGTCCTTTTGTTCGCAATTTCATGGACATGAAGCGTGAGGTGTTTTGTGTCTGGTCCTTCCTTTGTAACTCGGTCACACATCACTCGCCCTACCCTAGGCTGTCCCCTGGTTAGCTTAAATATCTTTATATATATTTTTACATTCCTAAGTCTATGTGTGTCGCAAGAACGATTGAATATTCTGTCATGAAACATACAACACTTTTAAAATATAGTAATGAATCATATATAGAGTTATAGAAAAAATTTTGTTCTGACTACAGGGGATTCTGTCCCACGAGCATGTTTTCCACTGAGCCCACAAATCTCCAGAATATTTCAAACGTACGAAGTGAATTGGACTACTGAATGATTTTAATGGTACAAAATTATTGTTTCAGGATAATAGGCTATGAATAGAATAGGAAAACCAACTGGGGTTAGAACAAAGACGCAGAACAGTAACATATTTTTGATTTTATTTCGGACGGTGAAGAACTTGTTTATAAAAAGCTATGTAATATTATAGATCCATCAGTCAGCTATGTTGGATATAAATGTTAGTTCGTGCCTTACAGATTTTATCTTTTCATAACTACATTTTTGAGAAAACAATGTTAGAGGTAAATTCTATTAAACAGACGTTTCATAGCCCAGTCTTCGGGCATCTAACCAAGGTGATGTCGAACACAAATGACGTACTACAAACTGACTCAGTGTATGTGACGCTGATTAATATCGTACTCAGATGTTCACGTAGTCCACAATACAATAGGTCCTTAGAGTTTTCACATAACTGAATGTGTGAGAACTCATTTGGCCTCGGTCTCAATTCGAGTGCTGGTTGTCGTGTGTTCCGTTCGTTTGAGTGAACAGCGTGGTACAAAATTATGGCAATTTTCAAGTTGCAATAGATGATTCAAAACGGGATTATTGCAATAATAAAACAGCTGCAGAAGAATTTTTAAATAACGTCTCTGTTCAAATTCCCAAGAGCCCTAAAATGACAGCTTCTCGTACGTAGTATTTCTCATGACCTTTTATTATTCACCTCATGACCTCTTCAGTAAACAAAGGTCATTCTTCAATCACATTCATTACCCCCGCAGAGGTAATCAAAAGACTGAGATGTCCGTGGAGTCAGGATCTACAGAAGCATTGTCGCAAATAGGATTAGTGACTTTTACAAAAGGGAAATTTTCCCTTTGCTGTTGTAATTTACTGATCCAAATTTAAGATCTACTTCTATCCATTTGGGTCACAAACCGAAAAACGTGTGGCGGAGAGCTGAGGAAAATATAAAAAAACCCGAGATATTTTTATTTAAGATATTTAAGAGTAATATTACCTGTTTCAAGAATTAAAAGACGTAACTCTTTGCAGATTTTATGATTTTATTGGGTTGTTTATGAATTTGAGCAAAATAATGTTGATGACATTGCTGATTGCCCAAGCCGTGTGTCCGATGTCGCCACTGAAGGTTACTTTTTAACACTGTAGGTGAAGGAGAGGTCTCGAGATATTTAGAGTAGCAACAAATATATTAAATACGTAGTAGCGGCCAGCCGACGAAGGTGAACGTGTCCTCAAACTTTGGGCCTTGGTCTCTGTCCGCAATCTTACACAGGACCACGGACTGTGGCCGATTTCTTTGAAACGACCTAATCTACGTAAACTGTACATGTGATTTGTAACTCGGAATGCCAGGAGGTTCTTTCAAAGTATATTCAAGAGAATGAAAAGAAAATGAAATTTTGAGAAGGTTAGATGGAAGGAATGAACAGGCGATTATACACTAATCTCTGGAAACACCTTTTTCCGCCGCGTAGGAACCGTGTAGAGTGGAGGGTAGAATTTGTTAGTAACTGGACGTCGTAAGGGGAATTTGTTGTGGTATTACTATTTTGAATATGCACGTCAATGCATCAACTGAGGATAAATGTGATGGAACACAGGATAACTTTTATGACAAATTTAATTATGTATCATTTTTATACAGGGATTCTTGGTTTGTCGTTTGGAACCCCTGCGCTATGTTATTGGGGTTCCGGCTTCAAATCTTGACCCAGAGACAGGGTGTCCTCACCGATGTTCATCGTGGGTTTTCTAAGTCCCTCTTGACAGGAATAGTACTTTATCGTACCATGATGCTTCGTTCCGCGAAATTTCAGCTTCGTTATTAAGGCTTTGACCGGGATGTTAAATCTTATGTGGTACCGCCTGATTCGACTTCTAATGTTTAAGTGAAGTGTTTTCTTCGCGGTACGGTCTGGATTCGTAAATATTATGAAGACGAGCTTCGGCTTCAAAGGGTAATTGGGTAACCTATCGTTCCACGCTAAACACACTTAAATATACCATAAATACAATAATTCTCTTTGAAAACTGATTTCCAGTTTTTAGGCAGTATTTTTAGGATCGCCATAAGGAATTACATGTAACAATATGTAACCCTAATTGTACATTAGTTAGAGCCATCAAGCCGATAATTACATGTAAAGTCGCTCGGCTGCAGTGTTCGTTTATGCAATTATGCAAAGACTTTAATTTAAAAAAATTGCATATTTTTTTAGAATGTCTGTTACCAGTAAAGTTTCAGTTAAGTGACACATCTCAGAATATCGCGTGGTTTCTGTGGTGTGATGTTCTGTACAGGATTCATAAATAATTGAATATTGAATAATTAATGTGTTGAAATGTTTCAAGGGAGGAAGACGGTAGAAAACCAAACTTTCGTTACAGAATGAGGAATGTGGGCCAGAAACTGAAATTGCTTTATGTAAAGCTCAGTGACACGCATGTAAATACACACACCTTTAGTAGGTGTTTGGATGTTAAAACACCGCTGCATATTATCGTATTTTACTTGTATTGTCACAAAAAAACATTTGTCGTGATCCCTAACAACAAATTTGTGACAAACATTTGTTTCGATCTCTAGACTAATGTTTTATTTTGCGGGCTGTAGAGTGCAGCAGGATTGCAACATCTGCCTTAGTAATAACTTCGAAGTAATCATTTAAGTGAGTATATTTGTAACTTTAGTTGATGTTCCAGTTGTCTGTGAGGGTGACAGTACCTAAAATTGCCCTTCAGTTGTTATTTATATAAATTTATACGTAACTTTTGCTTATAGTTGTAATTTATATACGTGTTTGTAGCTTATGTTGAAAATATCAAAGAAGTGAAACAAGATATTCATATATTATAACAGCTTGGCGTGTGTGTATCCGACCTCCTATCCGGAAAATTTAGGTTCGAACCTAAGCTGTAGTTACTGGATGGAGTATATGATTTTTATTGTCTCTTTTAAAGTTCTGGGCTAAATTCAAATAGGCCAAGGAGCTTATTTTATTTGTACAATTAACCAAACAGCAAATTTTATGATTTGCAACCTATGAATTTTATACAGTATTATAAAATGAACTACAAAACAAACGAAAATTTATGAATGTGAATCCTCGATATATTTTTGTATCACAATTTAATTGAATGAAATAATCCAAGATCAATTACTAAATCTATGCGCTGGTACTCAGTCGTGATATATCCCAAGCTTACCAATGAGAGGAATGATGGAGCCACATCGTTAAGCCAGCCACGAGATCCTTTTATGCCCCACGTTACGGAATTTAATAACCACTTGCTACAGAGTAGGTAGCTCATAATAATATATACGTAGTCTCCACTCAGAATTCTCGGCTGGTCAATAAATTCCGCGCTTTTACGTAATTCGAAGCCACTCCCAGACTTCTAAACATATTTTTCCAAAATCCACTTTAATATTATCCTCCGAACTTAACCTAGGTATTTACCGTGAACAAAAAATATCGTCTTTGAAGCCTGTACTGAGCCAATCAAATCCAGTACACAGACTCGTACATTAGACCTGTTTCTGTGAGATCCATTTCTTTTTTAAAATCCATCTACATAGGGGTCTCCCGAAAGGTCTCTCCTCTACAAGTGCTCCGAGAAATAGGTTTCTCATTTGTTCCAAGTTCGTACTGTCGATTTCATACTCTTTGATTTAATCGCCCTACTAATTTTAGGCTAAGCGATACTATCGAATTGTGAAGCTCATCATTGTGTGATGTTCTCACATAAAACGAAACTTCATTAAGAAATTAATGAAGATATTAGCAATACCGGGACCGACTTGTTAAGAATGTTCTGATGTAAATAAAACGAACGTGTTTGATCAGTCATCTTACAGGATTTTATATATAATCTATACCTCATGACGATTATATTGGTTGGTATGATAGTCTCTCATGTTAGTGTCCAGATTCCCACTGCCTCCGTTATTTGAAAATAAAACCACTTTTCTTTAAACCTGTAACATCGCTATAACAAAGGAACCTGAAATATTGTCAAATCCTTACGTCCACGTCTCTAGAAAAAAAAATTGTGAGGAAGGTAATTTACGTAAATTTAGTGAATTATGAGCTAGTTCTGGTCCTTTAAGTCACATGTTTTGAATCAATTAAGGTGAAGTTGGTATTGTGCGTCTCGGCATGGAGTTTACCCCAACCTACAAAAGGAAAAATGTATTATTTCATTGTTTGGATCATTGTGTGTAACTGTCTTGCTACATATGATTATGGCTATTTGCTCGTTTTTCTTCATTCTTCTATTCAATTGATGGAAACTGAACAAAAAAATAAATAAGTGACTGACATCCTGATGATATACATGTAACTATGTAACAACGATCCTAAATTGTGAGACAATTGAAGCACAACAACCCCATATCCGCTTCAAGCCTACGTAATTTTCATTTCGTACAAACGTTATCTTTTTTTTTGTGTGTGGATGACTGTTTATTATTCGCATCAGCGACTAGAACCATTGAAATGTTATGGAAGGGGGGGGGGACAGGTGGGGTATTGCTTG